AAACAGGCTACGACGCCATTCAGGGGGAAGTACGGAAAATAGAGGCGGGATATCGGAGGTTAAGCTTGCATCGCGCCGCGGTTGATAATAACGCCAAGTCTGGCTCAACCCCTTCGCTTTATCCGCCTTAACTTCCGGTCATAGACGTGCCCTTCTTCGACGGTGATTTGTCAAATTGGACGCGCTTTCGTGACACCTACGTGTCCCTGATCCACGACAACACCCACTTAATGCATTACTTGAAAAATGCGCTTATCGGCGAACCGGCGTCCCTTCTCTCGGCGTTTTCATTCGATTCCGGCTCATACCAGCTGGCCTGGGACGCTCTCATGCGAGAGTATGATAACCCACGAGTTCTCGCGTCACGTTGCCTCCAGAGGATTTTAAATCATAGGGCCCCTACTTCTGGCAGCGAGTATTCCAAGCATTCCGCTTACCTCGTGACTGTGGGCGAAAGTATACCGAGATTCCGCGCGTTGGCTCTGGAAAACGAAGGAGAAGTCATCATGTCCACGTTGGCTCTCCGCGCGTTGGACCCAACCACCAGACGACAGTTCGAACTCTCACACGCAAGTAACGAGTTCCCTACCGCGGATATGGATATCGCTTTTGTGAGGCATCGGATGATGTCCTCTAAGATGGCCCGTGAATTCGAGTCTGCACCTTCGGACGCGTCACGCGCCCAGTACTCGGACAGGAGGAAAGCTGGTCCCCCTTTTAACTCTCCTTTTAAGCGAAAAGTCTCGATTATGAACTCTGAGAGTGCAACCATACGCCGATGTTTGCATGACGGATCTACACGGAGAAATTTCACATCTCCCATTAACGTCCCCTGCCTACATTGCAATGAAAGGCACCCTCTGGCGCGGTGTTTTAGATTTTTGGCGCTTGCGATCAAAGACCGCTGCAATTTCGTCGAGTCGAGTGAGCTGTGTCCTAATTGTCTCAAGCCCGGCCATCGAATTTCGGACTGTCGGTCATCGTTTTCGTGTATGTTTTGTGGCGAGAAGCACCACAGTGTGCTACATAATGAAAATCGCTCCTGTTTCGAAACCGAGAAATCTTCCGTGAAATCAGGCGATTTTGTCGGCCACACTTGTGTCGAAACTCCCAACGGCAAACAACTTGCAACAGGCGTTTCTCTCCTCGTTCAAGACGCGCCAGCACCACCGAGAAAGTCCGCTCCCGCGAGCAGTGGCCACTCAAAAAGGATAGGTAGCGGCAGAATTCTCATGCATACGCATCCCCGCTCCGCCGATCGAAGATACCTGGACACACTATCCAGAAGTCACTCTGCTGCATATCGTAGTCCTGACCACTCATCATCCGTGGCACCTCGTCATGATGAATACTTCCAAAGCACGTTCGTTCGTAATCCGCGCCATGAACACAAGCATGACGCTTTTATACCTCGTAACTCCGCAAGCTTCCATACGGATCACGTATATCGCCCTCGTACACGGCGTTTCAACCATAACAGGGGAAGGATGCGCGTGTCCGTTAGAGATAATGACGTTTCTATATCTTGCCGCTAATTTCGGTCCGTGAGGATTATCCACGCAAACCGCCGTAAAGTTTCTCGCTCACGCGATGGCGGACGGGTCTGGATATCAACCCGTAGTAGGCCCACCGTAAAGTTTCTCGCTCACGCGATGGCGGACGGGCCAGGACATAGTTCCGTAGTAAGTCCCGTAGTAAGGCCTTGTCCCGACCTTTCGATAGCCGCTCCTTGTTTGAGTTTGCTCAAGGGCCATTTTGGCCGGAACCCGCGACTTAAACTCAAGAGTGACGCTTTCTCGCCGGAACGTCAACGACCGACTCACAACATCCTTCTGAACTCCCTTCCGATTGCACACATCGCCCTGGCGCAGGGAGTGTGAGTCGTAAGGGAGAAACCACTCGCGTTAAGTAGGCTTAACGACATTATCATGTCTGCCACTTACCTGGAGGCGACCTGCGCACATTCGGCAACATCATATTCGGTATTAGCGCGATGGGCCGAATCTAGCGGGTTTACGACCCCATTTCGCGATTTTTTCAAATCCATTCGGTCTTATTCGCAGCTTACCGAAACTCTCCTGCCGGAGAATTGATGCTTGCCAAGGGTCTGCCGGGCGTTTGGTTTGTTTCGCGATTCAAGTTTTCGTTCCGTCGATATGTTCAAACATTTTTTCGTTTCCGATCCCACATTTCGCGGATTTTCGATCCCGTGTGGTCTGATTCACTTTTCACACTAGCTCTCCTTCCGGAGAATGTGTGACTGACGAATCGGTCGGATTAAGATGTACAGGTTTCTCCTCACAGTTGCGGCTGTGCTTTATCGATGTTCCTGGGCTCATCTTGGTGGGCGGCAGGGTTTACTGCGACGGCGATTTTGTGAGCCGATTCATACCTTTCCGGACGAATTAACCATTGTTCAATGTGATTAACGATGCCACAATGCGATGATGTATATAACAATGTGGATGCGTAATGATTTATATATTTATTTATTCTGTATAATTTATTGATTTATTACATAAAATATTTATTTATCACCCTTATAGTAAATTTTATATATTTATTTCATGCGTGTACATAGATTTGATCATTTATATATTTTTTAATGTATATATTATTTATTTTACTTTGTAAATTTGGATGCTGGAGGCAGTTTCGCCCTCTTGTTTACCGCCTCTCCCCACTTCGTTCGTAGATTTTTTTGCATTTTGTCTATTATTGTTAAATCTGGCTACGCAAAATTTAGGTGGGCGGTATGTTGGATTTACATCCAAAATTTTATTGTATACAGTATTTTAAATTATCGTTGTATAAACAACACGGGGGGACCCCCGGTCTCAACTTGCACTACCCCCTCTCTAAGACGGCCTTATCTGCGGCCAAAGGACAGATGCTAGCGAACGAAGTTGGTAAAAGGATTGCTTACGACCTATCTCCTGACCAGACCTACAGAACTACAGCCCTTCGGCGATTTTCTGGACCCAGAACGGCGGAGAGAGAGAGGGAAAAGACGCGAGACCGGCCCCTTCATCAAACTGTACGTAAACTATTTTATATATATTCACAAGTATTCCTCCCTAGAACATTTCTTTATTTTGTATCTCTCAAGAAAAGGGCTCCCGGTCATATGGCATGTACCGGGCCCCCCAATATTGAACACTAAGGATTACTTGAAGAGGAACAAAATCGTAGCACCCAGGATCTTATCTTTACCATGAGACAAGTTTTCGAAAAAGTATTGGAGAAAGAAAAGGAAATGTCGCTGTGCTTTGTTGATCTTACAAAGGCCTTCGATCGGGTGAGAAAATCTGATATCTTGGAGGCCTTGAGAGAAAAAGGGATTGATCAAGGTCGTGTTCTGGTGGTTGAGAGTCTCTACAAGAAAACAAGAAATATAGTAAGATTTGCCAACTATACTTCACAGGAAATCGAAACAACAATTGGAATCCGGCAAGGTTGTAGTCTTAGTCCACTTTTGTTTATACTAGTGATGGACTCAGCAATACGAAGGGCTAAAGGAAAAATGCGGAAATTTCATTTGGGATATGCCAACCTGAGATCGGTGAGCCTCTCAATACTTGCATTCGCTGATGACGTTGTTATTTTTTCGGACAGTGACAGGAATCTTCAGTACAATATTAATAAATTAAAAGAAGAATTGCAGAAGATTAATATGATTATCAATCCTGTAAAAACGAAAGTAATGAGGGTTGGGAAGAAGCCTAGGAGAAATATGAGTCGCCAGAGTCGAAGACAAAATCCTCGAGCAGGTAGAAAACTTCAAATACTTGGGCGCACACTATAATGAAAATGGATACATCGATTCAGAGGTGACTGAGCGAATCGCTGCTGCGAGCAGGATGCTTGAAACAGTTAAGAAAGGTTTTCTAAACAGGCGTGAGGTGGAAAAGAAAACAAAAGTAGCTGTTTTAGATCAACATTTCTTCCCATTTCCCAACTCTTCAGAATCATGGACGCTGACAAAGAAACATCGATCAAGGATACAAGCGTCAGAAATGCGATTCCTCCGAAAGATTGAGGGGAAAACGAGAAGAGACAGAGTACGCAACCCCACCATCAGGTCGAACCTCAATATTAAGCCGCCCAATGATGTGATTGAGGAGAATGCACTGAGATGGCTAGAACATCTTCTGCGGATGGAACCAAACAGAATAGCTAGCGAAACCTATCGATCTAAAGTAGACGGCAAGAGACGAAGAGGAGGGCCTAGAAGGAAATGGGAAGATGAGGTAAAGAGCGATTTCCAGAGAAGAGGTCTTCAATGGAACGATAGAAGGCATCTTGTTGAAAACCAGCAGAGTTGGAGAAGGCTCTATAAACTTCCTCCTCACACTGCTTAATGCGGTTCAAGAGGATGGATTATGATGATGATGATGATTGTTTGCGGGCGACCTTCATTTGTTAGAAAAAATAAGAACCGGCTATAACCATTTTAGCCTCACTTCTCGTCCAGACGTTACGGCGCACGGTGGGACGAAAGATGGGTTTAAGTGGACATAGGCATAGAACTCGTAAATGGTGGCGGATTATCTTGATATTTAGTATACTTATCTTTTCAAGGCCAAGGAACACAAATATGACGTCGAAATTAAAAATTATACACGAAAAACTAAAAAATCCCGGTTTCTTTGTTTAGACCTGGGAATTTTTAAATTTGACAATAAATTAACTTAAAAAAATATAGAGACCTCATAATACGTATAATTTTAGATACCTAATGTCTACATTACTACATATAACCGTTATTTTAATAATTTTTCATTATATTGATTGCTTAAGTTGTCATTCTTCCCCTGGTTGTTATTTGATTTAATTTATTTGTATTATTAAAGTTTCACTTCCAATTTACATATGCGGGATTTAATTACGCAAGTTAAACAACTCACAACTTACCTCACCGGGTTTACATATCTTCGCACAGTAATCGTTTTCTCTTATTATGAAGTTTAATGTTTAATCTGATAAAACTGTTTGTAGCTCTATGTGTGTATGCAGATTAGAAGTAGGAACTGTCAACATCTTAAAAGTTCAATTAATTTAAATTTATCTTTAATGATTTTGTTTTCTTATTTGTTATCCAGATCATTATACTAAAGCTTCTAAAAAAGCTAAATATATTATATATTTTCCTTTAATCAGCGTCGTTGTTTTCCTAAGTAAAACCACCAGTTGGTTATTTGTTTTCATTATTACTTTTTTTATGACTCTGTCTAATTTAATTCTATGGCTTCAAAAATACTTTGGTTTTACCAAATCTTAAGTGCCATAACAGGTACAAGTGTATTTCTTTCGACTAACACCATTTTTAATGTTAATGAAATAATAAATGTGTTGTTATCTTTATTGTGTTTAGGTTCTTTATTTATTGATGCGAAAGGAAATATATGTGGAAATAGGCATTTAGTCCAAGAAAGGGGAAGCATAAATAGTCCAAATTATCCTCATCCATATCCTAATGCAACCAATTGCAGTTGGACCATTTTATCTCCACCTTCCTCTGTACTCACATTGATGTAAGCAGAAGTTTCTTTAAAATAGTGTTTCTGTTTTATTAAAATACTTGGGTTCTGTATTATAGATAATAACTTAATCAATATATATTTGGTTGTTAAAGGATCCCGAATATTTTGTTTCTGTGATAATTTTTTTTTTTTTTAAATAACTTTGAGTATTAAATGATATATTCACGTCTTGTGTTTTCAAAGATATTAATTTATGTATTGAAATTCAAGGTCTTATGATGAATATTGAATACATAATAGTTTTTCATTGCTTATTGAGAAAAGAGATGGTCTGAAGTTATATTCCTAAAAAAATAACTCAAATTAGTAGAAACTATTTTGTTGAGCCAACGTTTCAATCTAGATATGCAGTTCTTCATCATGGCTATGGTCAGGAAGGGCTTCCATTTTGAACTATTACTGGAATAGACCCTCACATGACAAGCTATTCTGTGGTAGCATCACATGGAAGCTCTTCGTGACCATAGCCCAGAACTGCACAACTGGGTTAAAACGTAGGCTCAATAAAATAGTTTCTACTATTTTAAGTTTTTTTCATAGTTCCACTTCATGCCATCTCTTTCCTTATGATTAATCGCAATGAATGAGATAATGACTGGTTGGTAATTGTTTGTCCTGTTGTAACTGTGGGTTAGAAATATTTTATTTAAAGTAATAATTGTGGATTGATGTTTGACTGTAGTAAATAATCAAAGAGGAGACTGGTTAGGTGATCAGAAAAAAAAAGTTAAAATAAATAACTATATAAATATAATTCTTTAATTTTTTTTTACTGATTACTCCAACCAATTTTCTCTTCAATTAACTCTTTGATTGTGGGAGCTTATTTCAGTGTTTCTACCAGTTGGCGCATCCCATAATCCAAAAAGATGTTCAGAAAAACAGATTTTTTTTTTTGCTTAATTTGTTTAAAATACTATTTTGAGTCACCCTGCAAGACCTTAGCTTTCGAAAATGTATTTTAACCTTTTTATTCAACTTTTAATAAATGGGACATATGCCTTCCTGGCCGCACAAAGCAATGCAAAATTAGAGCGGCAATCCCACAATACTTTGTTTTCTTGCGTATTTGCTCATTTCTGAAAAGCAAAATAACTGAAAATTACAAAAATAACTGTAAGTGATCATAAAAATTAAATTATATTATTTCTAAAAAAAGGAACACCGTCAGCGGGATTTGAATTATATATTTGTTTATATTTACAAATTTTTTTCTTACTGAAAAAAGTTCCATATTGAACCATAGCAGTTATAAATTTTATTATTGCACTTGCATTTATTTTGAGTTTCACTTTTACACTTACAATTTTATATTATATGAAATATATGTATTGTTTGTAAGTGGATGGAAAAATGATAAAACAACTAAAGAATCTACACACACACACACACACATATATATATATATATATATATATATATATATATATATGTATATAAATATATATACATATTTTTTTTTTTTCTGTTAGCGCTACAGATCATGAAGATGATAGGGCGCGAGATGTGGTCTCCTTACAGACATATGTTGCTTGCGGGAGCACAGATAGCACTAGAGGGGGTCACCCAACCTCACATTGCTACGAGCCATGGTCTCCATGGTGCAGCAACAGGCCACCCGGAGCTCCATAGCCGATCCCTTTGGGGCCAATCTGGCAGTGTCTTTCCCACCTTTTCACTCACGTTCAAGGACAGTGAAAAATCTGTCTAGATCCATGGATCGTGGCTGCTCAGAGTCAGCAGGCGCACGGAGATCTATATTTCTTTCATGGACCGAACCTCAGGGGGCTACTTACATCCTGACAAACCACATCTCGATTCCTGATTTAAGTAGACAGAGTTGGGTTATCAGTCCGCTCGGTCAGTGTGAGTTGCCTCCAGTAGGCAGACGGGCCTCACATACCCTGGAGGGGAGGGAGACTCAGGCAATATGGCTTTCCTTCATGGTCGGTCATCCAAATTGGGCGGTCACCCATCCAAGTACTAACTACGCTCGACGTTGCTTAACTTTGATTACCTATTGCAAGCACCTTAGGCCATAAGGCTACCCCGGCCCAATATATATATATATATATATATCACCTGCAATAGGTAATCAAAGTTAAACAATGCCGAGCGTGGCTAGCACTTGGATGGGTGACCGTCCACCAAGAAAAACCACATTGCCCGAGATTCCTCCCCCCCCCCCCCGGGTATGTGAGGTCCCGTCAGCCTACTGGAGGCAACTCACACCGTTGGATTGATGACCTTACCCTGTACTTTAAATCGGGAATTTGGGTGTGTTCTAGGAGACCACACTTGCGGTCAAAGATCTTCATGGTCTGTGGCGCCAACCAAAAAAAATAAATATATATACATATATATATATGGGGCTGGGGTAGCCATGCGGGCTAAGGCGCTTGCAATAGGTAACCAAGTTAAGCAGTGCCGAGCCTGGTTAGCACTTGGATGGGTGAACTTCCACCAGGGAAAGCCACGCTGCCCGAGAACCCCCTGGTTTGTGTGGCCCGTCAGTCTACTGGAGGCAACTCACACTGGCTGGACGTAGGACTGATGACCCTACCTCCATGTACTTAAATCAGAAATCAGGCTGTGGTCTAGAACTCAACTTGCTGTCAAAGATCTACAAGGTCTGTAGCACCAACCTAAAAAAAAATATGTATATATATATATATATATATATATATATATATATATATATTATATATATATATATATATGTGTGTGTGTGTGTGTGTGTGTGTGTGTATAATGTAGGAAACTTACATTTATTTGTTTAGTAGACAGAGATTTGGGTGTACCAAAATCAGCATTCAGTTAAAACCTAAATAAAAAGAAAAAAATTATAAAATTAACTTATTATTAACATTTATTTGATGTATAAAACATTTAAATAGAATATAAATAAGATCATGGATATGAGAACCTAACAGAGAAAGGACATACCTTGGGTTTAGAATAAATCTACAATTTGTAGCTTCCAAATAGTCAGAATCCGGAATGACCACACAGTCAGTTACAGGGGACTAATGAATGCACCGACTAAGCCACAAGTCAAATGGTGAAGGCGGAACTTGCCCGTACCTGTTTAAGTGGCGACAGCCAAGGATGGAAGGCATATATCTCGCCTGTACCAGTGACTCAACTCACTGCCGGTAAGGCATATACCCTGTCTGCACCAGTGACCTAACTCCTAACGGAATGTATCCCGTCCGCAGTCAAAGGGTTAAAGTGAGAGTTCTTTTAATCTATTCTAATTGTGGAATCATCTTTTAACAATCTGTTTTGTTTTTTTAATAATGATAAGGTCATTTAAAAATTTTGGTCACATTTGGTTATCAAAGAGGGAAAAAAGTTATATAAATAGTGTATTTTTCGACATCTAAGCAATCTTTATGGTTGTTTCCAAAAGTTGCTAGTGTTAGCATACATAATCATATACACCATTTTAAATGCGTTATTTTGAGAAAAAAAAATTAATATCATTAGTTTTTCTTTTAGAGTATAAGCTGTGTTAATGACAGATTATAATAATTGACTTCTATATATTGTGAGTAAATAATTGTATTGTTAAGTTTTGTTATATCTGACTTAGTTTGGAATATTGGATTGAATGGCATTGCCAAGTAACGAAACATTTAGACTGTGTTGTATAGCAACGAACTGGCGATTGTAACCTTACTCTCTATACTAAGAGATTATCCAGAGAGGATGGAGCTATGAAGTGAAAACTCACATTGGTACAAAAGTTTACTCAGCTTTTTAAACAGTATTAATTCAAAATTAGGTACTTGTGTCGGGACGGACTGCTACCTGCCAATGTTTATAACCTGAGCAATAATAATTCTGATAAGGCACTGATAATACCTATCTTCGTATTCATATTTATGAAAATTGGAAAGAAATGTAATAATAACAAAACAATTTTATTTTACATTTAATACAAAATACATCATAAACACTTAATGCATACACAATATACATATAAAACACTTTTATTTTCATTTAATTTATTTTGGCAGACAAAATAGCTTAATGCTATTTAAAATACCGAGGAACGGGTCCTCTTCTCTGTGAACTCGCTGCCTCAAAAATTCATTTAAATAGGAATCCAGAAGTTGCCTCGCAGTTCCTCTATATTTTTTATTTCTCCACTTAGCTGAGCCCCATAATCGTTCTATGTGTTGATTATGGACCCTACTTGAAGGATTAACAAAGTTATACCGGTGATTCATCTGAAAATGATTATAATTTTCTTTATTCAGTTGTTGGGTTTTGTATCCTTTCCAACAATCGGAATAAATGGTGCTTCTTTCTTCTATATTATTTTTAATAAATTCTAATAAAGTTGTTGCTTTTCTGTCTTTTATTTTTACCATGAACCACTCGTCTGTTTCTCGGCAAACTCCGCCAAACATCCATTGTTCAGGGAGAACTCTCCCTACATGATTCTTTCTTTTAGTACTTCAACGACTTTTCCAGGCCCTTCTATTTTTTTAGTTAACCTGCATAACATGCTATGGGCACAAACCTCTCTTAAAAACTTACCACACTTTTGTTGGATAGTTTCAGCTGCTCTTTGCTCTACTGTATTGTTAAATTATGAGACCAGCCATAAATAAATTTAATTAAAGCCGTTGAAAAAGTAATCTTTGACCCCTCTAACCATGTTCCTTTTCTTCTAGATACATTTTTCTTACAACTGCTATGAAAACATCTCCATTTGGTCTTCCTGTCAAACTTCTTTTCATGACCTTCCTCACAGAATTTCACCTTTGGAATTATCCCGATCGATCTTTTGAAAATATTTGATAGCTTCTTCTTCTGAAGACAGCTATTCCCAAAGTGTAATAATATCCATTTGAACAGATGACAAAATTAACAAGAAGTAAACAGTGGAATAACACACATGTAACAGAAGGATAATAAGAGCTTACACGAGATAAGAAGGGAGGTTGTGTGATGTAAGATAAGATAAGAAAGCAGTTTCC